CTTTCCCCCTTCAAGGCTGTCATCTTCTTATGAGCATCAACCCACCAGGGTTTGTACTTTAAAACATGCTGAATAGCTTCATCTTCAAAAAAATCAGCTCTAGGGAAAAGGAAAAGAAAGAGTTATATAGTATTTCAGCTCATAGTGTATGTGGGTATATATCAATGCACACAGAGAATACACCTCACTTGGCTCCAGGTTATTTTCCATGTATTATCAATATCTTCTTTGACTTAAAAGCAGCAAATAATCATTATTAAAAGCATAAACAACATTCTCTTATCTTACAGCACAGTGTCCCTTCCTGAGCCACACAGAAGCCCAGGAAATTGATGATTTGCAGCATGACACGAAGGTGAATAAACCTGATTTGTTCTGGATGTATCTACAGGAAAATACTCCCAAGACTTCTCAGACAAATCACTTGACTGGGAAACTCTCCCACTCAGGACCTAGGAATACCCTTCCTGAAGGGTCAAGATAAAGTAGGGATGGGATAGACTTTCGGGTAAACAAGGACAAGCAGCAGCAAGGTGGAAAAAAGAGCTGTACATGAATTCTGGAAGAGAGATTACCTCCACCTCAGCACAAAGCCACTGTGGTAAAAGTCTTACTATAGTAATTCTGGGAGTATTTATACTAAAGGATTCAAGTTCTAAGCCTCCTCTTACCTTTGGAGCTTTTTCTTCAAGCCAAACAATAGTATAAATACTGAGAACTGAAAAAAACCCACAGGAAATTTCTTCATACCTTCTTAATCATCACACAAAACCTCCCAGGCCACTGCACACAGAATGTAATTTGCTGCAGTCTCACACTGACAGATTTTTTTTGTTGCCTTCCTTCAATGTCAAAGTAACTTAAAGCTATCAGTCAGTGTATGTTTTCCTCAAAGGCAGCAGAAAACGTTTGCTCTCATTTCTCCCAGAGCTTCTGCTCTCATCAGGTTATAGGGGAAAATCATTTTGTTTGAAGAAAGACTGATATCATTTGTTCTGAAGCAACCAAAACACATTACACTCAATGGTTGTAGCTCATCTACCAGGCCAGAACACAGAATCTAAAATGGAAACTCAGAATTACTGTAATTTGCATCCCATTATAGGTTAGGAACTACTTCAGTTCCAGTGAAATGTACTTCCAAGTGGTATTTCAAGAAAGGCTTTCTGGTTTTTGTGAGCTACACAAAGACATGAGGCTGCCTCTGGCACACCCAACTGGGGAAACATTCCAGGTTTGCAAAGATAACTTCTGGAACAACTCAGAACAGGTTAAGCCTTGTTATCCCCAACAAAACACACCTCAGTACTAATCCTCCTGAGTGGGGACCTACACTCTTCTCCCACCCAATCAACCTTGCAGGAATCAATGTATATTCACACATCACAGAATCTCAGAATGGTTTGGGTTGGAAGGGACCTTAAAGACCATCTAGTTCCAACCTCCTGCCATGGGCAGGGACACCTTCCACCAGTCCACGTTGCTCAGAGCCCCATCCAGCCTGGCCTGGAACACTCCCAGGGATGGAGCAGCCACAGCTTTTCTGGGCAACCTGTGCCAGAGCCTCAGCACCTCACAGGGAACAATGTCTTTCCAATATTCAATCTAACCCTACTCTCTGTCAATTGGTGCCTCCTCTGGGCTCACTCCCACAGGTCCATGTCCTTCCTGCAGTGAGGACCCCAGAGCTGGACCTCAATGCTCCAATTTATCTTACTTATCTGAAAGCTTCTGAACCTAACTTGACATGAAACATTTCAATCTGAAAAGCACAAAGAGTCATTTCCACCTCCCTTACATGGAATGAAGTACAAAAGAAACACAAAAGAAAGTCTTTGTTTGGAACTTTTCCTCATTCTGCTGTAAAACAGGTTTCATGTGATGGAGGCAAAAACCAAAGTGGATAAGGCAAAATCTTCACAACTTCAAAACTCCAATTACCTCCTCACAGATCAGGATAGTTCATTAATCTTTGTTTCACTAGAGGGAAACAAAGCTCTGACATCCACAACCCAAAATTCTGGCAGGGATTGGCTACTCAGCTGCTGAAGAGGTGAACTATGACACAATGTTCTGCAACAGTTCACAGCAGCCTCAGTTGAAACAGACTTAAGGAGTAATTAAACAGTTGAGTAACCCTGAAACAGATGAGCAATGTGTCAGTGCCACACTGAAAATACCCACCAAGGCCTGCTCTGATGAGAACAAAGAAATAGATGTGAAAAGTGAAGCTATTATTTTCAAAAGTGATCTTAAACCTCATCACTTATGAGAGGGAAAAGTGAATGTATTTGAACTGGGGTATTTTACTTGCCCAGGTGAAGCTAATCATACTCACAGGTAGTGATCAGGGTCAAACTTGGCAGCCTCAGCTTCCAGGCGCTTCCTCCTGCGCTCCCCTGCAGGAGTCTGGTCTGGATCCTTAATGTCAATCACATCGCTGAGTTCATCCTGGAAATGGAACCAAAATCACAGGACAAAGCCACAACAGGTATGATATGCAAGATTTATTTAGTAAGAGTTTAGGCAGGATGTTTATCAGCATTACACTGAAACCTTTAGGTTATCTTCAACCTTGTGTGAGGCCACACCTTGAATCCTGTGCTCAGTTCTGGGCCCCTCTGCTCAGGAGGGACATTGAGGGGCTGGAGCAGGTCCAGAGCAGAGCAATGAGGCTGGGGAAGGGACTGGAGCACAAGTGCCATGAGGAGAGGCTGAGGGAGCTGGGGGTGTTTAGCCTGGAGAAGAGGAGGCTCAGGGGAGACCTTCTCACCCTCTGCAACTCCCTGACAGAGGTTGGAGTCAGGGGGGGGTTGGTCTCTTCTCCCAGGCAACCAGCAGCAGGACAAGAGGGCACAGACTCAAGCTCTGCCAGGGAAGGGTTAGGTTGGATATTAGGATGAACTTTTTTATGGAGAGGGTGCTGAGGCATTGGAATGTGCTGCCCAGGGAGGTGGTGGATTCACCATCTCTGGAGGTTTTCAAGCTGAGACTGGATGTGGCACTTAGTGCCATGGTCTAATGACCACAGTAGGGTTGGACTTGATGATCCTGGATGTCTTTTCCAACCCAGCTGATTCTATGAAGCCTAAACAAGTTAGCCAGAACTTTTATGACAAGAAAAGACAAAAATGGATCTACCTGCAGCCTCTGAAACGCGCCTGACCGCAAATTCCCAAATCCATAAGGGCACTGCAGAGGTGGAATGCTTTCTGCACTTTCCTTGTAAGGAATCTGTTCTATTTCCAAGTCAAATTCTTGTTCCTCCTCCTCAGACAGCTCAGCAGAGGCTCCTGTACACATTGCATGGCCAGAGAAGATCAGTACACAGAAAATATCTCGTTTCCTAGAAAGGCAAACACTGGAGCACAATAAACCTTCCTCATTTTACTACATCTTTTAAGACATCTTATACAACACTGGCCATGCATCAGTAATCCACAGGTTCTGCCTCAAACTCTCACACATGAAGACCAGGAACACTAAAGTTTTTAAGTGTATTCCCTCAAAGACTGAAATACCTGTTCCACTGATCCCCACGAGACCAGAATTTGCTGCTAAGAGAGCCCTGACAGGAGCAAAGTGATGTCATCAATAATTTAAGAGAGGTATTAAAAGATTAAACACAGATAGTCAAACACTCTTGTCTGTTAAGTACTGATGTTAAGCAAGTCATCCACCAGAACCTGTGGGTTTAATTAGCTTCTCATCTGAGCTAAATCTCCAGTTGTGGTAAGCTGGAGAAAGCAGAAGACTCAACTCTGTCTGTTTTCTGCAGCCACTAGAGGGGTACAAAGATCTATGGAGCATCAGCACATTCTAAACACATTTTAAGCACATTTTGGGGAAATTTAAACACATCTAAACCTTTATTATTGATACACAGATCACCTACAACACACTGACTTCTACACTGATCCACACTCTGACTTAGTCACACCTTTCTCATTCCTTGCACTAGACAACAATAGAAATACACTGTTTTTCTACATACTCTGTAGATCTGTAACTTTCATTACATACATTTATCACTAGTATAAACAAGATTTTTTTGGTCATACCTATCTCTTCTACCAAAGGTTTGGCTGATCTTGATTTCTTTGGTGTTAAAAGAGATGTCAGCATGTCCAGCCCCTCAAAGTATTGCCCAGGAATCTCCTTGGGTAACAGAATCGTAAAAGTTCCTTAAAAGAAAGTGAGAGTATATTTATTGCATTAAAACAGCCAAGACAAACAAAAATGTGCATTTTTCCTCCAGTGAAAAAGGCTCAGAACAAGTGGGACACGTGCATATAACATTTTATTATGCATCAGTCTCTATGCATGTTTTCAATCATTTAACCAGTTGTGGTCTCTTGACTCACATGGTATAAAAACACAAACCAACAGAAGAACACAAGATTTATGATATTTTTAGTCCTTCCATGCAATCCACAGAAAACCATAGGAAACCCCTTCAGCAATCTGATTATGGTCTTAAATCAAGCAGGTAATAAAGACTCTGCAAGCAACAAATTAATAGGCTTTATTGCTTTTCTGTTCCCATGAATATATTAAATCCAGAATGTACATATTTTATTCCAGAAACACCTTCCACCTTAAGTTGTGGAGAAAAGCCACTGTCTTCCCTCTCAAGATGTAGCCAAGAGGCTACCTCAGGATTTTCTCATTTCCACTCAGCACTACTTGAGTTCTGTGCAGATTTACTGGATTTGAAGAGGACTTGTACATCATATTTTATTATAAGGACAGTCCTGAACACATCCTTTGTGCTAAGTACCTACAATAAATCCTGAGCAAGATACTCTTATACTACCTAACATAAGAGAAACTTACATTTATTTACAGTATTGTAAATATCACTAAAGCTCTAGCAATTCCAGTGCAAAAGAGTATAAATTACTGGAGTCAGAAGCATTTTTTAAGGACACAGACACCAATAACATTAACCAATACCTTCATCTGTATTATAAGATGCTTTTTCTCTGCCATCTTCTACAATTCTTCCAGGAAGTGTCAACCTGCAGGCAAAAAAATGAGATGCCTCATTACAACCTTGACTAATTTTGCAAGTCAGTGTCTCAGGCTATAAAAATGGAAGGCACAGACCAAAAGCAGCACAAAGGACTTGGCTACATGACTCCTTTTGATATCCAGTAAAGTCCCCATGGATTTCCCCCAGAAGAAGTCACACTTACTCTACACAACTTCCACCCTGAGAATTGTCTGGCCATTTTGCAATTCAAAATCAAACAGCAAATTTAGCAAAGTATTTCTTTCAACTCTCTGTTACAGGATTTAGTGTTCAGGAACAAAGAGACCAGATCCATAAAGACAATTCCTTGCATGAAATGTGCTGTCTGCAGTCAACAGTGCAAAAGCTGCAGACAAGGAATGTCTGAGGGGACCAAAATGAAGTTTACTCTCTGTTGACTTTTAGCCATTTTATGAAGTTCAGCCTTTTAAAGATCCTTCCACAACTTACCTGAGAAAATATGGCTTCGCATAAAACCTAAAGTCTTCCCCTTCAACAAACACATCAAACTCTGAAGCTTTGGCATAAGGTACTCTGATTATTATGGTGAGGAAATCTGGATCCTGGGTCAGCTCAAAAGCTGGAGTGATCATGGTGAATCCAGCAGGAAAGGCAATCCCTGGCTGTGTGGCCTAGAAAAAAAAACAAACAGGAAAACCAAGAAAAGATTACTGTAGCTTCCAATTTCTGAGAGCAAATGGTGTCTCTTCAAAGAAGAGCATTTCAGAGTCTCACAGAATTGTCTTCAACATGCTCAAGAACAGAACACTCACAACAGCAACATGATAACAGCATGAGAAAACTCATGATAACAGCAAGAAGAATGTGAAGGGAGCAGCTCTCTGGACCTTAATGAAACTGCTGATAGCTAATGAATGCAAACAGCTGGAGGAGAGGAATGCACCTGTTACACTCCACATAAAAACACACTGAGTTCAGGCCTAGAACTTTTCAGCTGGTTTGTAACTGTTATTTATAACTTCACATAAACACCTTTACAGTTCTGTAGTGAACTGATCACAAACCACTCTTAGAAACTACTGAAAACCAGTAGTAACTCCAAAAACAACAAAAAAAAAGAGGTGTACTTTATAATTCACACATCTATTAGTCAGAAGACAAGCAGCAAGTTCAGCAGAGCCCAGAGAGTAGAGGTGTACTTTATAATTCACACATCTGGACAAGCAGCAGGTCCAGCAGAGCCCAGAGAGAGTATGGGGGACACACACTGCTCCTCATGTCACAGGGAATGCAGCAGCCACTGGGACAGCACAGGCAACAGATGCTCCTTTGCCCCTGCAGGGGACAAGAGCTGCCTGAACACTTTAAACATGAGCAGTTCACACTCAAATGTCCAGTAACAACATCCTTACTGCGGCAGGGCTTGCACAAAGAAGCACATCCTGAAAACCTCATGTTCCTGCCAAGGAGTCACTCAAAGAAAATACAAATACAGTGGTTCTAACAGAATGAAAGTACCCAGAGGATATCTGGGATCTCCTCACCAAGTGCTATTAAGGACAGTTTAGATGAGCACCCATCAGAACCACAACTACATGTGGATATATTTAGCACGAGAAAAGGAATTTACATAGTACCATTCACCTGATTCAGAACTTGCCTGACTCTTCAAAAGCCTCTAAATGCAAGATAATTCCTCGGCTTAGCGTTTGGTTCGGTTTGTTTTCGAGGGTGCGTGTTTACCAAGGATCACACTCCTGAAAATTAGTTTTTGAAAACAAAAATATTTTAACACAAACACACAGAACAGAGATATCACCTGCAAAAAGCTTTTCACTCAATTTCACCGTTTTATTTGTTAAACACGTTCCCATCCTGTCAGTTTCACAAACAGTTTCACAAACAAACACGGAGCACTAACCATTCACAGGGGTAAACAACAGATTACCACCTTCTTTCCTATGGGTAATCTGCCTTGTCTAGCACAAAATAAAATGAAACTTCTCATTTCACTGCATCACCTGATTCCAGGACAACATTCCCACCTTTTCCAGGCTGAGAAGCTGCTGTAACTAGAAAGGAATCACCTATTCGTAGGACACCTGAAAACTGATGCACATCACCATGGACTTTACGCAAACACCACGAGATGGGATAAGAGGTACCAAAAATCTTCTTTAGACCCCCCCAAGGACATGCAGCCTGTGTTTTTATCCTCCCAAACCACATGTTCACACACTCAGCAGCCCCAAACCGACCCTGCTGTCCCTGCCCAGCACTTTGACCTACACCAGCGACCCCAAACTCCCCTGGAGGCTCCCACACAAATCCCAAGGATTCTACAGCTAAGGGAGCGCTGGGATCCAACCCACAGCAACAACACAAACGTTAAGGCTGCTGGTATCCCGAATAATTATCTTCCCCAGCCTTTTCTGCGCAGATAGTGCTGTGCGCTAGAGAAGGGAAGAGACAGATTATCTTCCCCAGCCTTTTCTGCGCAGACAGTGCTGTGCGCTAGGGAAGGGAAGAGACAGTGGGACCGGGGGGAAAGCGAGGGAAAAG